ACACACACACACACACACACACACACACACACACACACACACGTTCACAGCCTGCCCACGCTCCTCACTGGGAGGGCTTCTGCAAGTGCTTGTTTTGGGTGCCGGCAGCTTTCGCCTCTGAATAAGGACCTGTGAATGTTACTTAGAAATTGTGCAGGAGTTGAGGAGGCTTCTGTTAGGCCGAGATGATAATTGTGCTATTTAGAGACAGGCTCCCCCCACCCCGCAGCCAGCAGGAGCCAGGTGTCCCAGAGACATGGCTGCTCCAGAGCTCCATCCACCCACTATGCCTGGACATGGAGGGCCAGTCCAGCGCTGGCCATTCACCCCTGAGACATCTGCCTGCCACCCTCCCTGGGCTCATCTTCAGCCTGCACTCTGTGAGGCCACGTGGCCAGGGGACACAGAGGTGCTACTGGGCACCTGGCTCTGAGGGAGGCTGGGCAAGGGCTGGTGGCACCCAAGCCTGTGTCCCAGCTGCCAGAATGACCAGGTGATTCAGAGCATGTCCCTGCAGAGCCCTCCCAGTGAGGGGTGGGGGCAGGCTGCGAAAGGCAGGAGCCTCACAATGGGGAGGGAGCCTAAGGGCCTGCTTTCCCTTCCGGATACAGCCCCTCCCTCTTCTCCTGTAGGGGCTTCAAGAACTCCACCCAAAGGCCCAACTTGTGTGACAGGAAGGGGACTCATGATTCGCCAAATCCACTCCGACCCCCTGGCAGCGCCACGTGCCCCAAGCATAGCTGGGCTCCGTGGGGTTGTCAGTGGCTCACGTTGCAGGCTGGCTTCTGTGGCACCTCTGGGTGCACTTGACCTTCCAACCTTTTGGTTAGCTGCTGGGCGCATCCCTGTCTGTACCTCCCAGAGTCCCGCAGGCAGTCTGTACTCTCCAGCCAGTGTATGGGCCGGTCTAGTTTTCAAAGCTCTGCTTGTCATCTGCAGGCTCGTCCCTTTCGGGTGGCAACACAGGGGGTCCTGGGTTTCACCGCACAGTGGTCAGCCCAAGATCACCCCGGCCTTCCCTTATACCACCCTGCAAGCTGCCCGGGAGCGGCTGCTGGGGTGACCTTCTTCCCAGGGGAACTGGGCTCCAGAGCATCCTCTTCTGCAAATGCAGGTCTGTGTGAGAGAGAGAGAGAGAGAGAGAGAGAGAGAAAGACAGAGACAGAGAGAATGGATTGGGATGTGGCTACCAATGAGCTTGGAGAGGTAAGGGTGAAGCCACATGGCCCTTCCACTGCAGTGGGGGTGAGAGCCTCCAGGGTGAAGGGGCCCGGGCACAGTGTGTGGGAGAACCGGAGGAAGTGCTGTTTTTAGCATCAGTGAGGTGGCAGCCCTGGCAAGTCTGGGGCAGCACCCCCTCCACTCTGTTCAGCTCCTCTGCTGGGCAGTGAGGTGCATGTGGGTTGCCTGGCGGCAGCCGGGAACCCAAGAATGCAGAGCAGGCCTGGTCACCTCTCAGCAGGCTGTGCAGCACGGGGAAGGAAACCCCTTGACCGGAGTTCATGTCCCTTTTTTATTTGCTGAGCCTGGCAGCATGTGTATGGCCACCCTGGGTCTGTCCTAAGTCTGTGTGCTCCTGGGTGTGCCCTCGTGTGTGCCCCTGTGCACAGGCCCGCTGGAATGTGGGCCCACCGGGGGATGGCGGTGGGGTGAGCGCATGCTCTCTTCTGCCCCCTGTTTCAGGGCCCTGCAGTAGGTGATAAGGCTTCAAGGGAAGAGGCCTGGCCCTCTTTTCTGCTTTCCCTTGCTGGGCTCACCCTGCCACATGCTGGCTGGGTTGTGGGGCAGCCAGTGGCTGGCCTCCCACCCATCCTAGTCCTTGGTCTGCCCAACAGCCCCAGGCCCCAGGGCAGCTGCATTCTGCCTCAGGCCTGGGGGAGGGGTGGCATGGAAGACCGCTCCCTCTGGCCAGGGAAGCTGGGAGCTAGCTGGTGCTAGGCAGAGAGCTACCCACCTGGGTGGCTCCTTCATCTGCCCTGGCCTGTGCTCCACATCCCGCTGGGTCCAGGCTGTGTAGAGGCTAAGGTCCTGCGATGGAGGGTGTGTGTGTGTGTGTGTGTGTGTGTGTGTG